CACTTAGTACTTGTTTTTTGGGCTTGCACAATGGGAGAGTTTAGTGGAGCATTTTGTGTTTGGCATTTAAGGAAGTAGCATTTAAAAAGCACTTGCTTCTACCATTTAAGTGGCATCTGAAAGGCACTACTTTCTCAACAAATTGCAAGTTTAATACACTTACAAATGGTTTTTATCATTAATTAATTAATTTTTATTTATTCATTTACTTTTTTTTTATACCAAATACAGTACAAAGAGCTGTACATTGTACAGTGTGTGTGTCTTTGTATTCAAGCCATGCCACATAACTTCTCACTAGTGTCCCACAGTTTTTTGGCGATCCTATCATCTCTGGCCTCGGGCTTGACTTGTACCAGCTGACAGTCAGAAAAGTATCGTCCGTTCAGGTGCTCGATGTTCTCATGTAGTGCGCAGTACAGCGTCGTCTGAGCCCCGGACACCGGGTCGGTTGCCCAGAACTTGCTAATGATGGCTTTGATAATGCGCATATGCCATTCATTGATGTCACGGGTGAGCTCTGTTCTTACCGACCCTGAAGCAGATCAAACACAGAAAACAAACCGTAAGAGGGTGAGAAATGGATGCAAGAGGCTAAATGCTTCTGACTTTTCCCTGTTTGTTTGTTTGTTTTTTGGATTCCATGTATTAAGGACTTAAAAGGTCTTAAATTGGAGCAAAAGTCTTAAGTTCATAAAGTCATGGCATTAAATGTTGCATATAATATAATTTAAAAATTATAAATTGTATTTTTGTCCTGTTTTCCAATACAAGTATCTGAACATCCTTAATTCAAGATCCATTTAATTGAGATGCAAACTGAAGATATGCAGCCTTGTTTTATTGCGAAATTGAACAAAATTAAAGGGGTCATATGATGCTGCTAAAAAGAACATTATTTTGTGTATTTGGTGTAATGAAATGTGTTTATGCGGTTTAAAGTAAACAAAACACATTATTTTCCACATACTGTACACTATTGTTTCTCCTCTATGCCCCGCCTTTTTGAAACGCGTCGATTTTTACAAAAC